ATAATTCTGGGTATATATACCCAGTTTGAAAATGTTTGCCTTTTGATTGAACTGTTTATTCTAATTTAATATTATTATTAACATAGATTTATATCTTTCTTTTTTTAATATGTCTCATGTCTTTTTGGTTTCCCTATTTCTCCCTTACTGCTGTCTTTGGTATTAAGTGAAAATATTTGAGTGTAATATTTCCATTTCTTAATGAATTTTTAATGATGTAGTTGGTTTTAGGGCTAACCATACACATCTTAACTTATCAGAATTCACTTCAGATTTATACTAACTTACTCAATTATGATATAAAAAATGTTACTCCTATGTAAATCTAGCCTCTCTTCTCCCCTTTCGTTACATATTGTTACATATTACATTAATATATGTTAGACACTCAAAATACTTGTTTATAATTTTAAGTAAATTTATCTTTTGAAAAAAGGTGAGAAAAGTAAGGACAAAGAACATTTCTTTGCAGAGATTTTTTATATTAACCTGCTTAGCTACCATTTGTAGCTCTTTTCATTTATTTCTGTGGATTTGAGTGACATGTGGTATCATTTTTTACTTCAGTACAGCCCTGCTCACCTCCTCTGTGCTGTTATTTTCAAGCATAATTACAGTTCTACATGTTATAGGCTCAACAATCTAATTATACACATTTTAAAATACAATAGCATTTTTAATTATTTAGGAGAAGAACTATGCATTTCTACTGTATTTTTTTCTTTTTTTTGAGACGGAGTTTCGCTCTTGTTACCCAGGCTGGAGTGCAATGGTGCGATCTCGGCTCACCGCAACCTCTGCCTCCTGGGTTCAGGCAATTCTCCTGCCTCAGCCTCCTGCGTAGCTGGGATTACAGGCACGCACCACTGTGCCCAGCTAGTTTTTGTATTTTTAGTAGAGACGGGGTTTCACCATGTTGACCAGGATGGTTTCAATCTCTTGACCTCATGATCCACCCACCTTGGCCTCCCAAAGTGCTGGGATTACAGGCTTGAGCCACTGCACCCGGCCTGTATTTTATAATTACAAATGGTGCTCTTTTTTGTGGATGTGCATTTGAATTACCATCTGGGGTCACTTGCTTTCAATCTGAAAACCTTCCTTTAGTATTTTTTGCCAAGAGAATTCAATAGCCACTAATTCTCTCTAATTTTATCTGAGAGTGTCTTTATTTTAACTTCAATTTTGAGGAAGAGTTTTATCAGACATATGATTTTTGCTTGACAGTTTTTTTTGTTTTCTTTCATTACTGCAGATGTTATTTGACTTTCTTCTGGCCTCTAATGTTTCTGATGATAACTCAGTTGTTAATCTTATTGTGGTTCCCTTGCTAACTGATGAGTAATTTTTCTGCTGCTACTTTGTCTTTCCACATTTTGACTATGGTGTGCCTGGGTGTATTAGGCCGTTTTGCATTGCTATAAAAAATACCTGAGGCTGGGCAATTCATAAAGAAAAGAAGTTTCATTGGTTCCCAGTTCTTTAGGATGTACAGGAAGCATGGTGACATCTACTCAGCTTCTGGTAAGGGTCCCAGGAAGCATATAATCATGGCAGCAGACAAAGGGGGAGCAGCCCCCACCCACCACTTTGTCACCACATAGTGAGAGCAGGGGTAAGAGAATGAGCAAGAAAGTGCCACACACTTTCTTACAAGAACTCACAGTAACTCAGTATTATGAAGATAGCACCAAGCTATTCATGAGTGATCCGCCCCCATGACCCACTCCCACCAGGCCCCACCTTCAACATTGGGGGTTACAATTTAACAAGAGATTTGGAGGGGACAAATATCCAAACCATATCAATTTTCCCCTGGACCCCCAAGTCTCATGTTCTTCTAATATTACAAAATATAATAATCCCTTCCCAATAGTCCCCAAAGTTTTAACTCATTTAAGCATCAAGTCCAAAGTCCTAAGTCTCATCTGAGACTCATCTCCTTCCACCTATAAGCCTGTAACATCAAAATAAGTTACTTAAGTCACAATTGGAGTATAGGCTTTGGGTAAATATCTCAGTTCCAAAAGGATAAATTGGCTAGAAGAAATTGGCTATAGGCCCCATGTGAGTATGAAACTCAGTAGGAAAGTCATTAAATCTTGAAGCTCCAAAATAATCTCTTTTGACTCCATGTCCTGCATCCTGGTTCAAGTAGTAGTCTCCCTAGGCCTTGGGAAGCACTGCTCCTGTGGCTTCCCTGGGTGCTGCCCATCACAAGATAGAGTTGAGTGCCTGTGACTTTTCTACATTGAGGTTGCAAACTGCTGGTAGCTCTACCATTTTTGGGTCTGGAGGGTGATGACCCACTTCCCCCAGCTTCACTAGGCAGTGACCTGGTGAGCACGCTATGTGGAGGCTCCAGTCCCACATTTTGCCTCTGTACTGGCCTCATAGAGGTTCTCTGTGGGTGTTACACCCCTGTATCATGCTTCTGCTTGGGGACCTAGGCTTTCTCATATACTTTCTGAAATCTAAGAGGAAGCTGTCAAGCCTTCTTCACTCATGCATTCTGTGTGCCTGTGGGCTTACAACCACATGGAAGCTTTCATGGCTTATGGATTACACCTTCTGAAGTGGTGGCCCAAGCTGTACCTAGAGTTCTTTGAGCCAGAGATGAAGCCGGAGCAGCCTGTATGCAGTGAGCAGTGTCCCAAGGCTGGGTAGGGCAGTGGAGCCCTGGGTCTTGTCCTTGAATCTATTATTTCCTCTTAGGCCTCTGGACCTTTGATGGAAGAGTCTGCCTAGAAGATCTCTAAGATGGCTTAGAGATAAGATCTCTAAATGTTCTCTAAGAACATTTCTCTCATTATCTTGGACGTTAGCCTTGGTTCTCTTTTAGTTGTACTAATATCTCTCGTTGCTTCATAGTCTGCTTGGATTCTTCCCCTGAATATGGGCTTTCTTTCCTACTACATGGGATAGACTGCATATTTTCCAAACTTTTGCACTCTGCTTCCCTTTTAAATATAAGTTCCAGCTTTAAGTCATTTCTTTGGGCCTGAATCTGAGCAAAGGTTGTTAGAAGCAGTCAGGCCACATTTGATTACTTTGCTTCTTAGAAATTTCTTAGGAAATCAAGCCCAACCTTCTATACATCTCTAGGACATAAACACAATGCCATAGAGATGTATAGAAGGTTAGCTTGACAATAAAAACATAAAAACAAATTTTAATTGTTATTTCTTAAAATATTTTTTCTGCTTATTTCTGTCTCTCTTCTTTCTCTGTGGCTTCCACAGTGTATATGTATGTTTTGTGTGCTTAATGTTCACCCACATTTCTTCAAGGTTCTGTTTATTTTTCTTCATTGTTTTCATGTTTTTTGTATTACATAATTTTTATTGCTCTATCTTTAAGTTTGCTTATTCTTTCAATTAAACTATAGTGTTGAGATCCTCTAATGAAATTTTTATGTCTTTTACTGTACTTGATGGCAGTGAATTTAGCAAGGCTCTCTTTCTCTTATCTCGCATTTCAGTTGCTGTCTCTGTTGATATTACACCTATTATTAAATTCTACTAATTGCTGACTGCCATTTTGTTTTCAAGAACACCCTTGCCCTAAGTTGCTCTGCATTAATTTAAAAGTAACTGTGGGCCCCTCTTTAGGGAGAGTTTCTCAGTCAGTCTTGAAATTTTATTCTGACCCTGGGAGGCCTATTCTTAGCTGTCTCTTTTCTGGTTCTTCGGGGAAAACTAGCTGATCTATGGGTTAATTTGATGCTTTCTTGGAGCTACCATACTTCTCTTAGTTGCTTATCACCAAAATCTTCATTGTTTCAGAGAGTTCCCTTAGGCTTGAGCTTTCCCATACCCTAAATAAAATCAATTCCTTTGAAGGAATCTTTGGGATTCTCTGTTCTTATAGCCTGTCTCTCCCCCTGGGCAAAGCCGCTGTGCCGCTATTCTGGAGCTGGGAGCCAAAACAGCAGCTTACTTCGCTTAAAATGACACCTCTGATTTACATTCAGGGTGTTGGGTAGCAGTGGTTGCTTCTGGTTTTCTTGGTTTGCATCTCCTGTAGGGAATGGAACCTCTGCCCTACAAGTGAATTGGCACTGGGGGACTTGGGGCCCTACTATTGTTGGCCTACGTTATTGAGACGGCGCTTTCTCCCTACACGTTGGAGCTGGGTAGGGGAAGAGAACCCCTGATCTCTTGGATACATTTGTCTGGGATTTAGGTTCTGCAACATAGAGCTGGTGGGGAGAGAAGTGCTGCTGGCCTGCCCCTTTCAGAGAGTTACTGTCATCCTGAATGTATTAGTCCCTTCTCACACTACTGTATAGTCTTACATGGCAGCAGGTGAGTGAGCCTATGAAGGAAGCGAAGGGAGAAGAGCCTGTTATTAAACCATCAGATCTCATGAGAACTCACTCAAGGTCATATGAACACAATGGGGGAAATTGCCATTCATCTCCCACTAGGTCTCTCCCTCAACACCTGGGGATTACAATTCAAGATAAGATTTGGATGGAGACACAAAGCCTAACCATACAACTGAAGCAATAGCCAGGGGGAAAAGGAACACTGTTCTTCACAATGCCTACCCAGGGCAGAGCTTCTGTCATGCTGGGCTGGTTGAGAAAGAAGGGGGCAGGCTGTGGCTTGACTGCCACAGACACTTGCTCTTCTTACCAAGATTTAGTCAATTTTACTGAATGTTTGGAAAACTCTGCCCCTACCGCAAAATCTCTCTCTCTTTCCCTCCCCCACAAAGAGGCTCCCTTATCTCTCACTTTACATACCGGCCCTAGCCCTCCCGCCGCCCAGCTTCCCGCCCAGCAGTTCAAACTGACCAACAGTTGCCCACCACCTCGGCTTTTGGCTTCCCCACCCCCCAGCCCTTCAGCCCCCTATAAAACAACCCTGCCCCTCTGAGCGGCGCGGCCATTTTTCCTTTTCGTCCCAGCTGGCCCGCCCGGAGGCTCTTTCCTCTCAATAAAGCCTGAACTTAAGGAATTTCCTCTAGCCTGCGGTCCGGTTTTTTCCGAACGAGCTCAGTCTTCCCGCAGAGGGTAGGTCGGACAAATGGTGCCGGAAACCCGGGACGGGAGCTGAGGCCGTTGGCCCGGCCATGGCCCCCCTCCCCTACCTACCCAACACTGGCCCTGCCACCTCCACGTTCCGATTAAGGTAAGCCAAGTTTTTCTTGCTTTGCCTTCCCCCGCTTCCCGTCTCCTCTTCCTACGGCATGGTGCAGTTGCTCCCTCCGGCGTTCCGCACGGACTCCTTGCCTAGTCTCGGCCGAGCCAAGGTAGTCTTCCGTTCCGGCTCCAGGAGCCTTCCGAGGGACAGCCGCCAGACGGGGGACGCCCCTCTGACCGCTTCCCTTTCCGTACTTAATTGTACTCCGGGGAATTTGCAACGAACGGGGACGCCTTTTCGTTGCATCTGCCCATCCGCGCCGGAGAGTCTGTAGCTGCGCCTGCCATGGGAAATTCAGAGTCCAAAATACCTCTGAGCACCCCCCTTGGGTGCTTGCTGCGAAATTTTACCAAATTGGGATATTCCCAAACCCTCAGAAAGAAAAAGCTTATTTTCCTGTCCCAGGTGGCTTGGCCCCAATACAAACTCAGTAACCAGTCACATTGGCCCCCGACTGGCACTTTTGATTTCAACACCCTCCGAGATCTCGACGATTTTTGTCGCCGTGCGGGCAAGGACAATGAAATTCCTTACGTCCAGGCTTTTTGGGACCTCCGTACCCACCCCAACCTATGTTCTTCCTGCTCCACCTACCAAATCCTCTTATCTCGAACCCCCCGTAAATCTTCCTCCACTACCTCTCCCCCTCCCTACTCCTCACCGGAGGATCTGCCTGAACATCTGTCCTCTCCTGCCAATCTCAGCAACCACTCGCCATCAACGGCACACCCTTCCCCCACTCCCTCTGCACCTCCTACCTCAGAGGCCATGCCTCGCTCTCCCTCTACTCCCTCCGAGCCCCCTCCCTCAGAGGCTGCACTTCCTCTTGCCTCTCCGGTGGCGGCCCACACCCGCCCCCACCAGCCAGCTATCCTGGCCCCACTCCGAGAAGTAGCAGGTGCAGAAGGTTTAATCAGGGTCCATGTTCCTTTCTCACTCCAAGACCTGTCCCAAATTGAGACACGTTTAGGATCCTTCTCAGCCAACCCGTCCACATATATTAAAGAATTCCAATACCTCACTCAAACATAAGAAGCCCTAGTCCGGTACACTCGACTAGATCCAGCCTCCCAAAATGGGGCCACTGTATTAGCCTCCCATTTTATCTCCCAATCAGCACCCGACATAAGAAAGAAACTAAAGAAAGCAGAAGAGGGGCCAGAGACTCCCATCCAAGACCTGGTAAAAATGGCCTTTAAAGTATTCAATGCCAGGGAAGATGCGGCTGAGGCTGCCCGCCAAACTCGCATGAAGCAGAAGGCTGCCCTCCAGACCCAAGCCCTAGTGGCGGCTCTAAGGCCGGCAGGGAACCAGAAGCCCAAGGCCGAAACCCATGCCCCTCCAGGGGCATGTTTCAAATGTGGAAAGGAAGGACACTGGTCCCGAGCCTGTCCACAACCATGGCCACCAACTAAGCCTTGCCCTATCTGTCGGCTCCCGGGACACTGGAAGTCAGACTGCCCCAGCTTCCCCAGGGTGCCGGTTCCTCAAAACAGACACACTGGCGTTACGCAGCCGGCGGTCACCCTCAGTAGGGAGGAGCCTGCTTGCCAGGAGCCGACCTCCGAGGGAGCTCCGTTCCCCAGTCTACTAGGGCTGCTAGATGACTAGCGGGGCCCTGGCTTTCCGACTCCGGTTACCCTCGCCGAGCCTAGGGTCACAAGACATGGGGGCTACCTACTCCGCTCTTCCTTCTTATTCTGGCCATCTCACCCCTTCCCAGGTCTTAGTCATGGGAATCGATGGGACCCCAAGTATCCCCTACCAAACCCCACATTCCCTAGGCCGAAACGTCCCTAGCTGTAACAGAACTATACGGGTAACCACTAATATAACAGCCCCACGAGGAACGTTTTTCGGGTGTAACAAGACCTTAACAAAAACTCTCTACATTGGCCTTTCCTCATCTCTTTTATGCCTCCCAGTAACCCTAGTCCCTTGACTCACTATATATTCCCCAGCCGAATTCCAGATGCTGCAAACTCCCCATCGCTGCACCCGATGAGCTGCCTTCCTACCCATTGCCGTTGGAGTCTCCCTTGCTGGTTCAGCACTTGCAGCAGGATTAGGAGGAGGGGCACTAGTCCACTCTCACCTGGCCATAGCCCGACTGACCTCACAACTCCAAGCGGCTATTAATGACTCTACTGAGTCTTTAGCATCACTCCAATGACAGATCACCTCAGTTGCCCAAGTTGCCTTGCAGAACCGAAGAGCCCTGGACCTGCTCACTGCTGAACGAGGAGGGACCTGTATCTTCCTACAAGAAGAGTGCTGTTACTACATCAATGAATCCGGCCTAGTAGAAACCCGAATCGAGAGCCTCCAGAAACTCAAAACTAACCTGTAGAGTCAGAAGTTCTCGGCTGAAGCCACAGCGTGGTGGTCTTCCTCTATGTATACCCTCTTGTCACCATTGCTTGGGCCCCTAATAGCCGTTTGCCTAATCTTACTTATTGCTCCTTGCTTTCTCCAGTTCCTACAGCGGCTCTTTCAAGAACTGACTGGAGTCACCATCCACCAGATGCTGCTCCAACCCCACCCTGAACGAGTGCAAGAAACAGACCTCTCCCCAAACCTCCAGGCTCCTTAGGAAAAGAAACCTCTTCAGAACCCCCCGTCGACCCTTGTCAGCAGGAAGTAGCCAGAGAGACAACCGACGCCCCTGACCCCCTCTTTTTCTTTTCTTTAAGGAGTCGGGAATGTTTGGAAAACTCTGCCCCTACCGCAAAATCTCTCTCTCTTTCCCTCCCCCACAAAGAGGCTCCCTTATCTCTCACTTTACATACCGGCCCTAGCCCTCCCGCCGCCCAGCTTCCCGCCCAGCAGTTCAAACTGACCAACAGTTGCCCACCACCTCGGCTTTTGGCTTCCCCACCCCCCAGCCCTTCAGCCCCCTATAAAACAACCCTGCCCCTCTGAGCGGCGCGGCCATTTTTCCTTTTCGTCCCAGCTGGCCCGCCCGGAGGCTCTTTCCTCTCAATAAAGCCTGAACTTAAGGAATTTCCTCTAGCCTGCGGTCCGGTTTTTTCCGAACGAGCTCAGTCTTCCCGCAGAGGGTAGGTCGGACACTGAATAAATAACTTTTCATTTTCTGTATGCAGAACAATTAGCAGTGACTTAAATTTTTTAAAAAGATCATATAGTGTGTGTGTGTGTTTTGAATGTAGCTTTCCAATATAGATCAGAGGCCTCCGTGTTTTTTGACAGAGTAGCTTTATATCTAGGAACTTATACTAAAGGTATAGAAATATAAAAGTTTATGAATAATAACAATTATTTTTAATAGAGAAAAATAAAACAAACTAAAGGTAGCAATAGTAGAGAGGAAAAATAAATTGTTACTCATTTAAAGACACTAAGAATCTTACTCCCCAAGCTTTTTGATGCAGAGAGATGTCATAATTCTTCACCCCTCCCATTTTCTTATTGTGGTAAATATACATAACATAAAGTTTACCACCTTAATTATTTTTAAGTGTACAGTTTAGTAGTGTGAAGTACATTTATATTATTGTGTAACCATCACCACCATTCATCTTTAGAACACTTTTCATCTTGCAAAACTAAATCAATTAAACAATAACCTCCCATTCCTCCACTCCTGGAAACCACAATTCTACTTTCTGATTCCATCCCTTTAACTATTCTAAGTACCTCATGTAAGTGGAGTCATACAGTATTTTTATTTTTGTGACTGGCTTATTCCACTTAGCATAATGTGCTTGAGATTCATTCATGTTGTAGTATGTTTCAGAATTTTCTTCCTTTTCTTTTCTTTTTTTTTTTCTGAGACAAGGTCTTGCTTTTGTCACCCAGCCTTGGGTACAGTGGTGCTATCTTGGCTCACTGCAACCTCCACCTCCTGAGTTCAAGCAATTCTCCTTTCTCAGCCACCCCAGTAGCTGGGATTACAGGTGCCTGCCACCATACCCAGCTCATTTTTGTATTTTTAGTAGAGATGGGATTTCACCATGTTGGCCAGGCTGGTCTAGAACTCCTGACCTCAGGTGATCTGTCTGCCTTGGCCTCCCAAAGTGCTAGGATTACAGGTGTGAGCCACCACACTCAGCCTTTTTTTTTTTTAAAGCTGAATAATATTTAATTCTATAGATATACTACCTTTTATTTATCCATTCATGTGTCAAAGAACACTTGGGTAGGTTCTACTTTTTGGCTATTGTGAATGATGCTTTCGTGAACATTGCTGTACAAATGTGTGCCAGGCCCTGCTTTCAATTGTTTTGAGTCTATATATAAAAGTGGAATTGCTAGATCATGTAGTAATTCTAATTTTGACTTTTTGAGGAACAACCAAACTGTTTTCCACAGTGGCTGCATGATTTCAGATTCCCACTCCTAAGAGTTCCAATTTCCCCACATCACTAACACTTGTTATTCTATGGGTTCTGTTTGTTTTTGTTTTGTTTTGTTTTGTAAATAATAGACATCCTCATGGATACAAAATGGAATCTCATTGATTGTGGTTTGATTTGCATTTCCCTAATGACTAATGAAGTTTAACATATTTTTGTTTGCTTGTTTGTATGTCTTTTTTGGACAAATGTCTATTTAAGTCTTTGCCAATTTTTGAATAATTTTAATTTTTTTTCCTCAAATTAATTTCAAGACCAGCATGTGGAGAGCCCATTTTTGAATAATTTTGTTTTTTGTTGTGTTTCTTAAGTTTTAGGAGTTTAAAAAATATACATATACCCTTAATATTAATTACTACCAGATATACAACTTGCAAACATTTCCTCTCATTCTGTGGGTCGTCTCTTTACTCCATTGACAGCATCTTTTGATGTGCAAAAGTTTTAAATGTTCATGAAGTCCAATTTGTCTGTTTTTTCTTTTGTTGCCCATGTCTTTGGAGACACATTCAAGAACTCCTTGCCAAGTCCAATTCCATGAAGTTTCTGCCCTATGTTTTCTCCTAAGAGTTTTATAATTTTAGGTTTGTTTTGTTTTGCTTTGTTTTTGAGAGAGAGTCTTGCTCTGTTGCCCAGGCTGGAGTGTAGTGGTGCCATCTTGACTCACTGCAACCTCTGCCTCCTGGGTTCAAGTGATTCTCCCACCTCAGCCTCTTGAGTAGCTGGGACTATAGGTGCATGCTGCCACACCCAGCTAATTTTTGTATTTTTAGTACAGAGGGGTTTCACCAGGTTAACCAGGATGGTCTCGATCTCCTGACCTCGTAATCCACCCATCTCGGCTTCCCGAAGTGTTGGGATTACAGGTGTGAGCCACCACTCCCAGCCTCATTTTAGGTCTTACATTTAGGCCTTCGATCCATTTTGAATTAATTTTTGTAGATGGTGTTAGGTAAGGATCCAACTTTATTCTTTTGCATGTGGGTATCTAGTTTTCCCAGCCGTAATTGGATTCTTCTTTTTTTCTTTTTTAGTCAATCCCATTAAAAGTTTGTCAATTTTGTTGATTTTTTAAAAAAAACAACTTTTGGTTTTATTGATTTTCTCTATTGTTTTTCTATTGTCTGGGTTATTTATCTCTGCTCTGTAGATGTCACCATTCTTTATTTGTCTTAGCTCAAATTCAAATCTACTCAGTCCTTTTCTGGTCAGGAGGACAGAAACTTCAATGGTTTTTTTGGGTTGCCCTGTTCCCAGGGTATGCCATGCAGCCCAGAAAACCCTCCAGCCTCCACCGTGTAATTAGCAGTGCTTTGACTGGCTCACAGTTAAGGGCCCCTGAATTGTGGTGCCTCTATGTTTTCCTGACCTACAAAGAACAAGATAATTTTTGTTGAGGGCTGAGGCTCTATTCACAGGGTCCAACCTCTTTGGACAGTATGTGGTACTCCCCTCACAGGCCCCGCCATAGCCACAGGTTTGAGTTCCCAGCTCCAGCTCTAACCTGGGGGAATCTCTCTCTCTTAGTCTCTCTCTGTCTTGCTCTTATGCTCTCTTCTCTTCCTGGTACACACACACACACACACACACACACACACACACAGTATCTGGAGATATCTGTGGCTGTTTGGAGGTGGGGGGTACTGGTCTTCTCCCTGCATCTGACAGCTGGGGTTGGCTTCCTGGTCTGGTGGCCTGTGCAGGGTGTTACAGCTACTTCTGCTTCAGACACATACCAGCTTAAGATGCGGGGTGAAGCTACCACCGGTAGTAGCCCCTGGTGTCCTCTGGTCCCAGGCTCTCTAGCCAAAGACCATTTGCAGGCCATCCACATTCTTTCTTTGATTCACTTGTCCATATTTCCCATAGCATGCACCCTGGTTCATCCCATTATCCCCTGGCCTTGAAAAGTCTGTCCAGAGAGCCAGATGGAGGGATGTGGTGAAGCACATGGAAGGCCCAGGAGCCGTAAGATTTCCTAGGGTGGGTGACTACACTGAGACCTGAGAATCCTGTGCGGGGCAGGAGGAGCTGGTGAGGGACAGAGTTATGCTGCAGCTGCAGCCAGGAGGAGGTTGGCAGGAAGGGCGGGAGGAGAGGAAGCCCAGTGGCTGTGGTGTGGGTAACACAGCCCGAGCTCAGAGGGCTTCTTCCTCCTGCATGGTGTGGGGCTGCAAAGGAAGGAATGAGCCTGGCATGTGAGATCTCTTCTCCACAGCCTCATGTGACCTAGCTGGTCCTTGGCTCCTTCTCCTCCCTGCCCTGTCTGGTGCACCTCAAGCTTGTGCCTATTTAATATCAATAGACATAAATTATTTCTTATTGAATGTCATTTGCAAATCACTAGTTTGCTGCTCCTAACAGCACTTAATGTCAATTACTTTTTAAAAATACCAATTGAAAATCACTGGTTTGCAGTTCCAAGCCTCTCTTAATGCCAATTACTGCTCGGAGTGCCGGCGACACTGTCTCTCAATGCTGGATTTCTGAGCAGTGACTTGCTCTCATGTTCTCCATCTGGCTTCACTTTCCTGGAGGGGAACTGCCACAGTCGTGCATTAACCCTTAGGCCTTCTCATGCACAAGGGGGCCACACTCTTTCATGGGGCTTGCCCAGGGGAGGGCTCTTTGGAGGCTCAGAGAACCAGGGTTATGCTGATCAGCACTGTCCCAACCCGGCAGACCCCAGGTTACTTGGGAAGGAGTCTTGCATGCCCATCCCCACTCCTGCCTCAGGCCCCATCTCTCCAGGTTCCGTGCCCTCAGATTGTAGAGGGCAAGGCCGACCCACATACCTGGTGTTGCCCAGCTCCCACTCAGCACATTAGGCTGGAAGCTGATTGGACCTTTCACCAACACATGAATTTGGGCCAAGGGTGGGCTGTCACTTGTGGAGAGTTTTCACCTTGCCCTGGGGTGGCTTTGAGGATTGTGTATGAAGGATCTAGCGAATTATCTGGCACAAAGGAAGTGGAGCATCGTGCTCTGAGGAGCAGCAGGAACAGGAGGATGGGCAGCGGTGGGCACTGCAGTTCTTATCGTGGCTGCTGTTCTAGTTCAGCATGTGAGGCTTCCCCTGGGCTGTCAGGACAGGACTGAAGAGGAGCCTGGGTTCCTGAGAGAGAAGGTGATGCCCTGGCACAACAGAGTACTCGCTGTCAGCTGTCCCCATTCCATCCTGTGAGTTAATGGAGATGACCTGGAGGGAAAGCTTTTTCCCCCAGAGAAATGCAGTGGCAGGTGGTGGAGAGGAGGAGCTGGAGCAGCAGGAGGAGGATAAACAGGGAGAGAGAGGAGAATGGGAAGAGAAATTGGGGAAGACAGGGAGAGGGAGGAGGTGCGAATGTTCTCCTTTATCTGATGCCTTGCCATGTCCCATGCAAGGTGTGTCTGTCTTATGTTGGCAGGCAGATGAATAATGATGAGTTTTGGGGACAAAGATCCAATTTTCATCCTCAGAGAGAGGTGACACATTGGGGACAATGGCCGAATTGGAAATGCTACGTTGTGATTAATATGGAAATGTGTTTGCTATTATTAGCACATGGCTGGCTGAGGAGTGTGCAATGAGAGGCTGACAAATAGTCGTGCTGGCTGGGTGCTCTGGGCCTGCTGATGAGCTATTCT